AATCTAGAGAGAAAGTTTTTCAAAATAAGGTCACTTGTTTACTGTTATTTTCGGAAAGAACTGTACTCCCTCCGGGACTCAAACCGAACACTTAACAGTGGCCATATCACTCGCATGTGAATAATGGGCGATTCAGCACCGCTTAGACTACAACCTGGTGCAATATCAAATGTTTAGGAGCAAAACACGTGCCGTCCGTTAAATCGCAGGTGATGTTAAGGTATGTCTTTTTCAACAAGATAACAACTATTAACAACCAGCCTACTGAATTACACGAGTTTATATTAAAAAACCGTAAAGGGTGAACAACTCCGCAGATTATATTACAGCAGATTATTAAGTATTATATGTACTACAGATTTATCTCCCTTCGTGAAATATTTGTATTAAACTGGAAACAACAAAAAGGTCATCGTATTATGCAAAACGTTACACTTAAAAGAAATTTCCAAAATAAATTATATCCATAATTTAATATATTTAACTTTGTCAAAATATTGAATTGTAATTAGTGTATTGTCATTAAGAACGATAGCAATTTAACTCGATAGATGATACTTCACAGTGTGATATGACCATTATCGTGGGATATACTCATTTCATATTTGCATAAATTACAAAAATGACTTAATATCCCTGATAACCTTCGTTCATAATGTAATTATAGGTATTGAGTTTGCAAACACATTTCATTCTTTCATTGATAATTATGATAGCTACACACTTCACATTGCACATAGAACAGCGGTCAATAGCTTAAACAATAATGATAACATTAAACCGATAAAGTGTGCACTAAACCTCACTCTTAGCTCCAACATGTTTATTCACACGTACAAATTCGTTATATAACGATTTCCCTCTGTATATAAAAAAAGAGTTTCTGACCATTCCATTAAATATTGTTTTTGTTTAATGCTTATATTCAATCCCGTCACACCACAAAATTCGCAAACATTAGATCCACAGACGGTTTGCGTTTGAAATTTTTAGACAAACGAATTTCGTTGATATTTAATATAAAAAGATGGATAAAGACAGCGATATAATTTGTTCGGAAAAAGTTAGATAGGCTTGCGTTCGACTTTAAGACCAATAATTAACATATACATGTAGGTTACATGTACATGTATAACTTGCAACGAGTCTTTGTTTAGATTACGCGTTGTGTCAGTTTAGAAATATTACCGGTTCCATTCTGAAAAAAAGTTCTAAAAAACTCCGTTCCGGCTGAACTGGTTAACGAACCGCCAACAAATCTACATAATTATGAACTATAAACTGTGTTGATAGCCTCATCCTCCGCCTACACATCGGCAATTTTCTGTGATAAAAAAGAAAAAACGAAAATACTGGAGCTGTCTTTGGATAAAGAGAAGAATCCAGTCATAAAAAATACGACAAACTGTAGCGGAGCTGCGAAGACAATGCAGCATTATAATAAATCTTCATGCATATGTCAACAGAAGTGTTGAATGATGCTTTCTGCAAAGGGTCGAGTAAGAATTACCAAATAGCACACATTCTACGGATATTGTCGGCAACAGTCTGTACAAATCTGTGAAAGCAGATCAGATGGTTGGCTTGAAGAATAAAGAGGTGTAACAGGATAAACTCCCGTATTTACCCAGATTCTTTTGTTAAAATAATTTTTAACAGAAAGTACAAAGAAACAAGATTTTGGTTCATCAATTGATATCAATAGTCTTTTTTTTTATCTTATCTAAAGTTATAAGTAACTCACAACTAAAAAAGAAAACTCAACAACGATATAATATTTTATTTTACCTAATGAACAAGCCACATTTTTAAAGTATCAAAATTAAAAATTGATTTTTAGCATTTTATATTAAGAACCCTGCCCACCCCACCCCCCTCTCGAAAAAAAATCCTTATGTTTAAATATAAAATGGCTAAGTTCTAACAAGAGGTAAGATATACCTTGCAAATGGGCTTAAGTGATCATTTTCGGTCAATTTATACCCTTTCTATACCAAAATGCATGAACATTGCATGCACAAATTTTACACATATTCAGGGGATTGTAGCCACTTATTTAAATGATTTAAAAAAAGAACTTTCTGATTTACTATGTTAACCTAAACAAAATGTAACTCAATTGCTTGAAGTTTAAGATAATCAAAACTGTACCTATTAATACATCCAAAACATATTGGAAAACCAGTTTTCGGGATTTACCAAGTTTTTATACCATTATGCCTCGTTGTTTGTAGAATTGCACTAGAAGCTTTGACATAAACTATCAGGTAAATTTCTATTCTATATCATCTTTTTCTTTTTTTTCGTTTTTTTTGTATAACCTTGACTGTCTTCAATATGATACAACGGTATATGGAGGCAACAGAAATGATAAGGATTGCGTTAATTTCAGCCATTGTAACTAAATTGATAATTGGTTGATATATAAATTATTTGAGTTTACGATGACAAAGGTTAAACCAATAGTTGTTTTTCAGAAATTATAGTATTTTTGATGAGATTTAGAAAAAATAAAAATAATACAAAAATAATATATGGTGCAAGGTTAAGTTGACTTATTAGACTTGACAACATAACATTAAGTAGATTCATAATAAAAAAATTCAATACAGGACACGTTTTAGTACATTAGAAAGCCACATTAAGAAACCCATTGCTATGTATTATAACGGGTCAATCGAAACTAGACTAATTTCGGATTATAAGTAGTTCTATAACAAATGTGGTTCTAGATGTAATTATAAACAGAGTATGTAATATATGATAATGTATAACGAATGTAGACATTTGACATGCAAGGGTAGCGGTGGCCTAGTGGTTAAGGTGTTTGCCTCTTAACACGGGGATCATAGGTTCGAACCCTACTGGGATCACGACCATGTTTCTTCATATGACATTAATACAATGTAATACTGGTTGGTTCCAGGAAGCGGACTCGAATGTGATTAATATAAGTTGCAAGAATTTGTTTCGCAATCGAGCTAAAATAAATATGTATTTAAACCATATATGCAAAGGAAATAAAGTTTATTTTTAAATTGCTAAAATTATAACTGTATTATGCCTGAAAACTATAGCCAATTTATATATATATATATATATATATATATATATATATATATATATATATATATATATATATATATATATATATATATATATATATATATATATAAATAGATAATATCATTGAAGGTATGCAGGCCTCCAGATGGGGGAGTTAGTATTTACACAATTACAAATGTCATAAGGAACAGGCAAAAACTAGTTTTCCATCTCTTGTCGTTATTTTAACCAAACTTTGTAATAACCATCGTCTTTATAGTGCATGTTGTGATTTAATATGAATTATATAAGATAATGTACAAACAAAATAATTCACTGCGCGGTTGATTAGAACACAGATCGACTGAAAAGATAAGGTAACTATTATAATTTAATACCATTCTGTTGCACTTCAAAATGTGTCTGTTCTGTTCTGCTCGCAATCTTCTGTTTTGCCATTGTTCTACAATAGTAACAATAAGATGGTGAAGTAGTAACGATATTTCTATTTTTAGTTTTGGTTTACAAAAGGGGAATGTAGTATGTATTTTATATTTTATATATTTGTTATGTTAGTACAATAATCTAACCAGTAGTTGTTTTTAAATTTTAGTATTTTTGAAGAGGTTTAGAAAAAAAATAAACAATACAAATATAATATATTGTGCAAGGTTATGCGGACTGATTGCACTTGACAATATAACATTAAGAAGATCCGTAATAAACAAATTTAAGACAGGACAAATTTGTAGTACATTGGGAAACCACATTTGGAAAACCCTTTTTATGTAGTTTAAATGGCCAATCGGAACACCCGGCTATAAATCATGATAATAACCTCGACTAATTTCGGATATTAAGTAGTTCTATAGCAAATGTGGTTGTAGTTGTAAATATAAACAAGGGGTGTAATATGTGATATTGTATAACGAATGTTCCGGTATATATTTGACATGCAAAGGAAAACAAAGATAATTATCAAATTGGTATAAAATATTAAGAATAATAACCAATTCATATAAACACCAATAAAAAGAGATAATATCATGATATATGCATACCTCAAGACGGGGGAGTTAGTATTATCACTATTTCAAATGTAGGAACGTGTAGGAACGGGCACGCACAACAACTAGTTTTCCATCTTTTGTCGATATTTTGACCGAAATGTGTAATAACTGCCGTCTTTTTAGTGCATGTTTTGATTTATTTAATATGAATTTTATATCTGATTGTACAAACAAATTCATTTATGGCGCGTTTTTAATAAATACCGGGTGACTGAACAAAGGAGGTTATAATAAGCATTTTTTACCATATTGTTGCACTATAAAATATTATTGTTCTGTCCTGTTTGTTAGTTATGTAGCCGCAATATTCTCTTTTACAATGTTTTACAATAGTAGCAATGAAGTGTAACGGTCTCAAAAGTAAAGTAGTAATGATATTTCTATTTTTAATTTTGGTTTACAAAAGGAGAATTTTATATATATTTTTTCTTCAATTTAAAAATACACAAACAGTTTATAATTTAAGACTGATAACCATCTTACAACCTTAAATATGGATATTGTCGGAAGGACCACATAAAACACTAGAGACATGGGCGGATATACTTGTACCAGTCATAGGAATTTCCGAAATCCCCTGCTGTTTTAATTGTTTATTAATGTTAAATGTATGAAATGGGCATATTTAAATGACTTGTCAAAATATATGAGGCCCATTACCTGTTGAACCCAGTATATATCTAGGCCACCTGCACGTCCTTTAATAGTTGTTTGTCATATACTGTTATAGCTATTTGAAATAAGTTTGATACTGAAATACCCTCAAACATGAATGTCCTAGTACAAATGAAGTTTAGGATAATCAATACCACACGGGTGACACCTATAAATACATCCATGCAAAACATTTTGAAAACCATTTTTGGCGATTTTCCGAGTTTTTATGCGTCATTTATTGTAGATTTATACTAGACGCTTCGCCATTAACAGGTAAGATTTTATTCTAAATCATCTTTTTCTGATTTTTTTTATAAACTTGACTGTCTTCAATATGATACAAAGATATAAAGTCAACAAAAATGAAAAGGGTTTCGTAAATTTCAGCCATTGAAGATAATCATAACTAAGTTGATGATTGATGGATAGATAGATAAATTGATTTTACGATACTTTTTTCTGTTAGAACAATTGTTAAACCAATAGTTGTATAAAAAATACAAATGTTTTATATTGTACATGGTTAAGCGGACTGATTACACTTGACAATATAACAGTATAATGATCCGTAATAAACGAATCCAATACAAGACTATTTTGAGTACAGTGGTAAACCACATTTGTAAAACTATTGTAATGTAGTGTAAGGGAAAATCGGAACACCAGGCTATCACTCATAAAAACCTCGACTTATTTCGGATTTAAAGTAGTTCTATAACAAATGTGGTTCTAGATGTAAATATAAACAGTCGATGCAATTTGTGATAATGTATAACGAAAGTATACATTTGACATTCAGATTGGTAAAAGTATGTCTAACGACCATAATCAATTATATAAGGCCCACAAATTATAACCAAATGCGAATTATTGCCAACTGGTAAACATTATGTACTTTCGGTTTCTTCAGCTTTGACGATAAGTTTGATAATGATGTATGTTTTACATTTATATCTCTCTAAAAGATTTGTATTAAGGCTGACATTTAGTCGATATATTGGAATAAACAAAAAAAACAACTCCCAACATTAAATATCTAATTCTTATTCGTAAGAGCGAAATACTGTATCCGTTGTGTGCATTCTTACAACTGTGTGCTCGAGGTCCTTATCCGTTATTTGACGACAAGGGCTAAGAATCAGGATATATTCAACTGTTTGTCAGTATCATGCTGTGAATATAATGTCAAATCAATATTCGATTCAAATGTTACGTATATTTTATTTTCTTTGTTTAAACTACCTAATGCGCGACCGTTCGACCTTACACATCAAACATTAAACCGATAATAGTTCAGCTTCTGACCTATCATAGGTACGGATTACATAAACTTTCGTGAAATATTCAAGAAGATATTGAGTGTCAAAATGTTAACGTCATATCATAATAAACGAAATATTCTAAATTCGTAAGAAAGGTTGCAAGAATGAATGCAGTAACAGATTACGCCGTTCAATTGTACGGGAAACGCGCTTATAAAAAAGATAAAGACACGATTATGTACAAATTGTTGTGTCTTCTTTATTCCTCAAAATGTATTTTTTTATTTTTGTGGTCCTGTTATTGATTCCAAAAAGTTCCTCATTAACCTGAACCATCTTTTGCTTTTGTTACTCTTTTGCAATTATTACATTCAATTTTAAAGTGATTTTGTATTTTGTATGGAAGTCACAGCCCTACTTTGTTTATATTTATTAACTAGTTTATATTTGACTACTTTTACGACCTATGATTACATTTTCAACGTTACTTTGTACATGCTAATTCATCTGACAAGCTCTCAAACCATTATTAAAAGTTCGATAATTTCATGTTTTTACTTTCTAAAAAAGGGAAAAAAATCAAATCCGGGGCATAATGAAAAAAAGTGTAGCACAGGAAATGCTTTACAAGAAGCTTGGGACACATTTGCTTTATCGTTTTGCAATGTATAAGATGGGTGAATACGTTAAAAAGTAAAAGAATGACAGACAGTGCGTTAAAGATGCCTACCGAGCATGAAAAAGTGTGACGGCTACCAACGATTATCACAGTTAAAATTTGTTGGAATCTGATCGAAGAATTACGTACAAAGAAATGGCTCATGAACGAAAATTAAGTGTATGGTCAATTTATACCTTTTTGCTCAACCGTTAAAAAGTAAGTAAGGTTTCGCCAGGTGGTTGAAACATCGTATAACACCAAATCAGGCGGACGTCGTTTGAAAGTGGCCACTTATCTACTTCACGGTTTTATGTGGAAGGGCAAGACGTCTTATCAAGAATCGTTGCTATCGATGTACATGTGTTTTTATGAACTGAGGCTGAAAGAAAGCTATCAGCCTAGTGGCAACACCAAGCTCCCCGAAGCCTACGAAGTATATAAGAACTCAGTCTAAACCAAAACATTGATAATTATTGCCTACGATAGATATATAATTCTCAGTCACAAGGTCGAAAGAGGTAGAACCATAAATAGGAAATATTATGAGGAGTATATTAAGAAAACACAAGGACAATCGGTCCGTAGGAGGGGACTTGAACTTATAAATGGCAAGAAACATCGCAAGCCGCGCTCTTTGTGACGTCGTTGCTACAGCATTATGAGTTGGACACCCTGTACCATCCACTTAATTATATAATGGATGATCCTAGAACATTTACAAGCTCACAAAACATAAGTACATGAAGTCAGTAAACCACAACACTTCTACCTAACTGAAGTTTCTCTTTCGAACAGAACCAAACAATAATGATGTTAAACAGAAAAAATAGATTAAAAATCAAGTACTTAGTATGCATTTAAGATTAGATATTCAAAGCATATTATATCAGTTTAATTAGGGGAAGAATTAGACGTTTGGTAATTGAAGATTTCATCTTAAAATGTCAAACATTTACAAGGTCAATAATGAGATAAGAACGTAAACATTTACTCACACTTAGTAAATACTTTTCCAACCTACGCCAAATTACCCGCCTAACATTATCGCCTACCAAAGTTAAGCTAAACCTTCCACGTGGAAGTGTATTGAACATTAATAAAAGAAACAAACATATAGGAAAACACCAAAATGTAACAAATAGCAAAAATACGTTTTCCGACGAAGAGACTATATGGTGAACTGACTGAACGATCAATAGCTGTAGCACAACTGGAGAGTTTAAACTTGTCGTTGGTACATCAAACCTCATTCCTAGCAACAAACTTAATAGCAGACAGCAGAAATTAAATTCCCCGACTATTGAAAACTAGTAAAGTAAGTTTAAGAAAGAAAATCATAAACAAACGAACATAAGTGCATAAATTTCAATGGCCGTAGCAACAGGGAAATCACCTTCAATGGCCCGTTAACAACTTGAAGGTAACAGATGAAAATTATGACAGTTTTATTAGGTTGATATATCACCTATCACAATGCCCTTTTAATTGGAATCAAAAGCTTAATTTAAAAACGTTTCGTCCAACTGTAAACGAGTTAAATACAAATCATACAGATTTTTCAATATAATTTAAACATTAATTCTTTTAATTGAAATTTTGATTATTTAACAAAAAAGGAGAAATAACTTTGACCTAAAGTCTTATTAAAATGTCTAAACATGCGTCTTCTAAAAACATGTTAATTCATACATGGCTACAATACATGATTGCATGACTATTGGAGTAAGTTAGCTATAATAAGACCATTTGCCGCCTTTTGTAATGCATGTTGTGATTTAATTATATCTAATCAAGAACATAAATTTGGTCTATTGCGCAGCTGTTAAAACATTGATGTGTCTGAAAAACTAAGCCTAATAATTCTTCCTTTTTAAACTCACCAAGACCTGACGATATTCAACCTGACATAGAAATCCAAAGCATTCGGAATGATTAGATGCAGGCATCTTCATAATAGACAGTTGCGGCTTATAATGAGGAACGGGGATTGAGGATCGAGGACAAGTTATATAAAGGGATACTCAAAAAATAATCTAACATTTTATAATAAACGGATAACACCAGCATTGTCAACGATAATTTGTGATTGTATTACGTGATATTGTCTTTGTCCTGAATAAAATTATTCCTGTGGCTCTACTTCATCAATAGCCCTGACCACCATATAAACTCGCATTTGTTTAATAAGAAAATCGTCTCAGTAAACAATTTTATGTACATTGTATCTTTTAGTTTCAAATACAAGCTTCGAATTAAAGCCCGGATCCCGTCTTTCACTGACGATACACGTATACCTTTTTCAAATAAAAATGATATCATAGAAGTCGGATAAGATCGTTGTCAAAGCAAAGTTCTGAACGATAGTGTTCAGTGCCTTTTGGAATGTTTTATTTAAAGAATAAGAATAAGTGTTTCGGGTGTCTCATAACGTAACTCGAAGAACATGTATCTATGTGTGCATTTGAAAACATTTCTGCCACTTCAGTAAGTATCGTGTTGGGATTATCCGAAATAAATGAACCAGATATCAAGTAAGCATGATAAAGAAAAAACGATAAAACTACATAAGTATTTACATCATAAATATAAAAATATCTTTCAAACCCTTGGTAAATAGCAATAAAATTCTCTAATGCCTATCTGTCTGACGCATTATGCTGTAGGATTATGCTGATGTATTTTTACTACTGCTTTTATAAGGCTAAACCGTCTTTTTCGACTGAAAAAGGTTATAAGCCACGTGATACCAAAAACATGAAAAATGGTACTGACAGCTCCTGGCTTGGCGCTCAGCATTAAAACAATCAGTGAATAATGTTTCATATATCGAAGGCAAGCAATAACTCAGGTCTGTTTCATGTGGGAAATAAGATCGTGCACTTGTAAGAGAACCTGTTCAGATCCTAAAATAGACGGACTGTCAGTATATGACTGAAAAAAAGTGTTGAAATATCTTGAAAAAAGTGATCCCTCAGAAGCATTAAAAACAGCAAAAGAAATTTGCAGACTCGGTTATTGGTTCTGTACAAGATGGATAATAGAAAGTTCAACAACCCTCATGCCCTCTAGCACCGGCTTAAGCGCAAATCAACTCTCAACACTTAAAAGTACTAGACTCAATTATCGCAAAGGACCAGATAAATGTAGCAACGCTGAAGTGAAGTACGGGACACCTTTTTTACGGCTACTACACAGCACTTGACACCTGCTGTTTTGATGTATAAATATCGCGTTAAACTCCGATATAGTAATTCACTCCATTTCTATTTCAGTTTTCAATATTTTCAAATTTATTGCCAGCACTTTAGGCCGGACAGCGTCTTGAAAACGTCTTTTGGGTTAAGGATTTA